ATAGGCGTTTCGTACGCCGCGCGAAAATACTTAATTGTTTGCAAACTCGTGTACCGTAACATTTGCATAACAATGTTAAGCTTATTATGTTCGGAGCAAATCATCGGTTCATCAAAATCGAATCTTAAATGAGTCTGCGCTTCATGTGAGCCGCCGCTGTCATAGTTTCTCGATAGGGATATCGGCATAATCTTGGGAGATTACAAGCCATTCACTACCTACATAATTCTCCGGGATTTCGATCAATCCGCGAGTACGTGATTCAGTGATTAGTTTCAATTTGCTGCATGCAATATCGGTGAGAATATTAATTAATTACTTAGAGTAATGATGGCATATTTGCATGTGCTTTGTAGGAAAAATTATAGATATTACTTTCAACTTTAACCCGTGACTAGAAGACATGAGTCCTAGTGACCCTGAGATATTTCCTAATTTTTAAATAGCATAATAATTTGGAATAATTTTATATTTTATCATCTTATATTTCACAGTTTTGTTCTATCCATTTTAATGCTAATTATCGTAATATATTTATATTAAGTTCAAGTATTGCAATTTTTTATATAGTTAATTAAAATTTCTAAAAAAAAACTTTAGTGGATTTCAAGTATTCCATATGTTTTTCTTTCAAAATATAAGATTTCTTGAGCTTATTAGCAAACTAAATTTTATGTAACAGTTAAAACTGAAAATATAAAATAAAAATTAATAATTTATTTGTAATATCAAATAAACTCACGGCTTTTGCATACAGGAAACGCTTTACTCTGTGGCATTGCATGGCACGTAGGAATGCAATCAATTTACCGCCAATCAATTTATCGCTTTTCTAAAAAAAAAATGATTGGTTACCTCGTTGCTTCCTGCCGCATGAGCAAACTCAAATATCTATAAAAAATTCACTTTAAATATATAATTTACTAATTTATTGCAATTGCTATAAAAACAGACTTAATATGGCTACATTTGTTATATTTCTTAGCAAAACATTTGATTATATACATATATATATATATATGATTTCTTCAGACTTCTTAGATTCAAAATTTTCGAATAATTCGTGTTCGAATCATAGCGATTCAAATTCAAAGCAAATTGAATCTTGATTCGATTCGTATTCAAATAGTTCGCACATCTCTAACTGTTCGAAATCATGCAGTCAAAATCTACATCAAACAATCAATTAAGAATGCAAATAAGAACAATCAGAGAATCAAGATAATCGTAAATTACAGACAAAAGAACGATAACGGCACAGGTTGCGATGCCAAAACAGCACGATATATCGCACTGTCCAGCGTTTGTCGATAGTGCAGTCGTGGAAGGTGTACAATGTACGATCCGTATCCCTTTTAGTCTCTGGCATTAACGTGCCCTCCGCCTTCTGATCCTTGTTCACAGATTGAAGCAGTAAGTGGAATGTCGGCGCAAACTAGAAATAGTTACTGCCACAAAGACTGCCAGCCAACGCCACGACGACCACTCTGACGGCAACCTACCTCCCGCGAAGTTTCGCTTTAGCACTTGCAACGACCACACTAATGCGCTTAATTGTTATTACATGCAAATAGGATACAGATATCAGATTTCTTAGTAAAGTCAACGGAATATCATGGTTGTGCGTCGGATCGCGGTGGTTATTTTAAAATGATAAGTTTTACATATATATTTTTTCAGTATGATCAAAGAAATTTAAAAAAAAAACGCACAAATCATATAAGGAATTAAATAAATTAAAAACTCCTTTGTAGTCATTAAGATGTACTTTAACGGCTTACTAAATAATTAGATTTTCTATAAAAGGATCTCTTGGTTCTCGCGTCGCTTTGAGTTTCGTTTCTTTTTTTTTTTTTCTTTATGGTCAAAAAATTCACGATTTACATCGTTGCATCTATTACGAAGAAGAAAATACGCTAGAAAACTGTTTCGTTTGAGAGCTAGTCGCTAAAGATCTTGATACGAGATTAAAAGGCATTTTAACGAGGTCATCATCATGCGGCACGCCCAAGTTGCAAACACCTGTGAAGCGTGCTCCGCTTTCTGGGCGGGCCATACACAACCATTTGCAACTGCATGAAAATTGCAAGATACGGTGAAAATTGCTCTGTGCCCTCGCTCGAACGCCTTCACCCACATCTCGAGTTTACGGCTTGTGCACTGCACCGTGAAGGCGAATCGAGGGCGGCTGAATCGAGACCCCCTAAGACATCGATGATCGATACGATACTGAGGGAGAGACATGCTTCTTTAACACGCTACTTTCCTCGAAGTATTCGAGCGAAAATACCGTTCTTTACACAAAGACATCTTCAAATGTCTAACTGTAGGAAAATCCAGTAAAAACAACAAGAAAATAAAGTTGAATAAAACGAGGATAATCGATGAGAAAGAATTTGGTATTCAGAAAATTACTGGGAAAAAACTTTTAAGTCGCTGGCTTTACGAGAGCCCGTGGTTTTCTAACAATATAAATTGCGAATACGACATAAGAAAAAAGACAATCTGCTTCGTTATTCAAAAAATAAAATATTCATCGCAATTGTTATAGTAGCAGAAAGTATCTTGTTACAACGATATTTTGTCTACTGATGTATGTGTGGAATGCGCGGTTCGCGTCCAAGAGACACGCGTAACCCGCGTGCAAGACGCATCGCGGGAGCGTTTCCGCTCACGTGTTCGGCCTTTAGCTCTAGTCTTTGTTTCCCCCCGTTCGCGCTCATTGTGCCGTGCGCCGCGATACGCGAACAAAGTGAGATCGAGGTTATAATTTGTAATGAGAGTCAGCGGACTGCGTATTCACCGAACAGTTTTCGAGTGTCTTATTCTTCTTTCTGTGAGCCATCAATTTGGCGCAACAACAGTATGTATTGAGCAAGATAGAAAAAAAATGACAAGCGAGATTCTCTCTTTCTCATTCTTAATGATTCTAGCAATTATCTCAATAATAATATGTATTAGTCTCCAGTCTCTGGAGATATAATAACTGGAGATACAATAATAATCTATCATAAATTACAGAACTAAGTATTATTATTACCTTATCATGTTATAAATTAAGATTTAATTCTAATTATAATTTTTTTATGTAAAAAAGTCACAATACGTATAAAATTCAGAATTAATAACGTTTCTAAAGTCAATGACAGGATATTTAAGGACAGGATAGAAATATAACCGTAATAATTCCGTCGAAAATTTCGATATTAAGATATTTGCATTGAAAAGATTTTTATGAAATATTAAAAAATTTAGTTTGACGCAGATCTAAAAATAATTTTATTGAATATTTAAAAATGTAGTTTTGATGCAGATCTAAAAATAATTTTATTGAATCATCAAAATAACTGTATGGGGAAATCAAGTATAGTAAAGAACGCTGCAAAAAATTTGATATTCTAGCAGCTCAATGTAATTATTTTAATAAATAATAAATCAGAAAATGGCTAATACGAGTCAAGTACGAGTGCGGTACTTGATGTGCAATAATAAATTAACACAAATTAGTTAAAAGACTTAAATATAGTTAATCGTATGTTTCAACTTATTTTTCATATCATTTTCGGTGAAGAAGTCAAACGAGATTACAAATTGCGTCATTGAATACATTCTGCTGATGTAACCATCATTTCTGATGATGTAATCATCATTTCTAATCAATTTGCTAAAAATAGTAACTATTGATGCCTGACTCATATATTATATATCATAATTATCGTTTTTTTATTCATTATTTGTACAATTTGCGAATTCTATTATACTTTCTTTAAAATTATTTTAATAGTTCAATAAAATTATTTTCACATATACATATATCTAGCTAAATTTTTAGATGTTCCAGCAAAATTATTTTTTTCGTGCATAATCTTTAATGTAAGTAACAATATTATTAATTTATTCTTAAGAAATAAAAGATTTAAAGAGGTTGAAAAAATCATCGACTTTACTAATTAATCGAATTATACTATATTAATATTCATAATAAAGTTTTGAGTTTAAACTAAAAGAGGTAGAGTAATAATGAATTAAAAAAATAGTTCCGATAACAGAAATAACTGTCGATAACATTTAATTATTGATACAAATGTTTTACGCTATCTCTTTTACTGTAATAAATATTTATTTAAAAAGTTTGTAATTTATATGTATAATTTTTTTATAGATACAAATGTTACTAGATTGTAATTTATAACATTTCACAAAAATTACTGCCATCATATTTTGCAATCGCACTAATGGGACTATATTGGAATGTGTATAATAATGAATGGAATGTTTCACTCTAGATTTTGCAAAAATTTAAAAATTATTGATATAATATATAAGTATATATACGAGTATATATATATAAAGTCACCAATAGATGTATATCAAGTGCAAAAAGTACTAAATTTGCTAACATGACAAGCCACTGAAAGGCATAACATTCACCAAAGATTGCAACGTCCGAGGTATTTTCGAGCCAAGCCAATAAATTTTATTTCAACGTCAATACCGTTTCTAGCACCGGCGTTAAATATCGCGGACAGCATTGGCAAGCTCGAGACAGGCAATAACGGTAGTTTGTAGCAACCCTACATATGCGCTTTTACCCACCTAACAACCTTAATAGCCCTGTAGCACAAGAATAGCGGCGCGTGGCGACGAACGGCCAGCATGACACAAAAGTCATCGATGACAATACCGGCGGTAGTAATGGAAATGCCATCGCGCGAACGCCAACCATCCTCACAATCAACCCAGCCGACGACGACGCGACGGTGGGACTATGACGGCGCGGCGCGCACAAGAGGTGGCACGCGGGTGGGTGAAAGCCGGCATGGTTGGGCATCGCAGCGGGGGAGGGGGGGGGG